TGCCTCTGCGCGGTGATGCCTGTTTTCATCGCGCCGTTCCCCCCGCCCCAGGGGCTCCCTCTTGGCCCCCGGCCCTCCGGCCTGCCCCCAGGCTGCCGGCATCCAGCCCCAGGCCCAGGCCCCACCACCTTGACGTCACCTCAGGCCCTGTCACCATGGTGTCACCTCAGGCCTCCTTGCTATGGCATCACCTCAGGCCCCGTCGCCATGGCATCACCTCAGGCCCCCTTACCATGGCGTCACCTCAGGCCCTGTTGCCATGACGTCACCTTAGGCCTCCTTGCCATGACATCGCCTCAGGCCCTGTCGCCACGGTGTCACCTCAGGCCGCAGTGAGGCCTCAGGCCCCATCGGTGCCGCAGGCCCCGTTGCCATGGCGACGCCTCAGCGCCCCCTCCCCGCCCGTCGTTACCATGGCGACCCGGTGGGGCCCACCCCCTCTGGCCGGAAGCGGTCGGCGGGCGCGCCGGAAGTACCGGGTAGAGTGGCGGAAGCGGAAGCGGCGGCGGCGGTGTCCTTCTGGGCCGTGACGCCGGGGCGGCACCATGGCGGACGCGGCCTCGCAGGTGCTGCTGGGCTCGGGGCTGACCGTGCTCTCGCAGCCCCTCATGTACGTGAAGGTGCTGGTGCAGGTAAGGGGCGGGGGGGGGTCGGTAACGGGGAGGGCACCGGGGCCAGTACCGGCACCGGCGGCACCACCACGGCTGCCTGTCCCCGCCGCAGGTGGGGTACGAGCCGCTGCCGCCCACCCTGGGGAGGAACGTTTTCGGGCGCCAGGTCTACCAGCTGCCCGGTCTCTTCGCTTACGGTAAGTCAGCCCCGGTGGTACGGCACACACCGCTCCGCCCCCCCCCCCCCCCCCGCCTCGCGGGGACGGTGGTCGAGTGTGTGTGTGTGGGGGGGTGTCCTCCATGGCGTGACGCGTCCCCGCTGTCCCCAGCCAAGCACATCGTGAAGGTTGACGGAAGAGCGGGACTCTTCAAGGGACTCACCCCCCGCCTCTGCTCCAGCGCCATCGGCACCGTCGTGCACGGCAAAGTGCTGCAGGTACCGGGGGGGACACACATACATGGGGCGGGGGGCTCTGCCACCGGGAGCTGGGGACTCATAGACCCCACGTCTCACTGCTTCGGTGCTGGCAGGGCCTTCCCTGTCCCCCGCAGCTGCACTAACCCTGCCCTTTCCTCCCCAGCGGTACCAGGAGGCCGAGCAGGCTGAGGTAGGTGTGAGGCCACTTTCCCCGGTGAATCCTCCCTCTCTCCCCCCTTTCCTCCCTCTCTCTTCTTATCCCTCTCTCC